TTACGGTTTTTCATTAATATTATTGTTTATTATCATTTTCCTGTACAATTTTCATATGCATCCGGAAGGGAACATCTTTGGCTATATTCTCATATAATTTTTATTAATATATACTATGTAGTTTGATAGTTATTGAACATTATTCGAGGGAATGCTACACTCGCCGAATTCAAGCGTATCGCTTTTCTGACAATTTAATGGAATTTCATGGAATTAGACGATATATTCTGTACTTTCAAGCTTGTAGAATGTAGCACGGACTTTCCTTTATATTCTGCAATAATTTTAGTAGCCATAAGTGATGTGGTTTATTAGATATTAGCAATTGTTTATAACATTTGACTGTACTCGAGTACGACGAATATGGGACTCTTTCATGTAATATTTAATAACTCTTAAACTAAACCGAATATGTTAATAAAAATTACATGAGAATGTAGCCAAAAGAGTTGCATTTCAGGTGCGTATAGTTAGTTGCACGAGAATTTAGCAGAAAGCTGTGAAATTATTGAAAAATCGTAAAGGTGCTTGTCGGTATGCGGTATCGTTCCCGACATCACGTACTAAAATTATTAATAACTAATTATTGAAAGGGTTTAGAGCACTAAAAACTATATGTGAATGTTGCTAAAGGTTCATACTACATTCCTCAATTCTAAAAGTTTATAAATTCATTGCAAATATTGAGTTATTAATGATTTTTCACAGACCTACTTGATTTGGGCCTGGAAGGCGGAAAATGGCGGCCCACCAGCCAATAGGAAACGTTTTATCTCTATCCTTGTCGCACACTAGTGCTTTCCTTGTCTAATACCGCTGTGTATATGCTGTGGTCCTATTAGAAAATCTTAGTTTGAGTCACCAGACGCGAGATGGCGTTAGCCTCGCCCTCTCACTTTTTTCTGTCCTTGTCTATCCATATTGCTTTCCTTGTCTAACACACGGTACTATTGCTATCCTTGTCTATCCCTATTCCTTTCCTTGTCTAACACATGGTACTAATACTATCCTTGTCTACCCCTATTCCTTTCCTTGTCTAGCTCGTTTCTCTCTCTATATATATAGTACTATCCTGGTCATCGTTATTATATTTAATTGATTCTTGTAATAAATTTTTAATTGCTCTAACATTACTAATAATGTCTATAGTAAAATATAGTTTGTGACTTATTTTCAAGTACTTTAATTATACTGTAATTTGTGTTTCTTGTTAAATAACAATTTAGATGGAGGTTTATAAGTCTTCCACTAATTATAAACAAGTATCTAAATTGTTATTTGACAAGGGACTCTAATTATTCTATAATTAAAATATTTGAACATAAAGTTGAAATTTTATTTTTCTATCTATGTACTCACCATGAATAATGT